TTTCTTTCTTTCTTTCTTTCTTTCTTTCTTTCTTTCTTTCTTTCTTTCTTTCTTTCTTTCTTTCCCCAAGATAGGGTTTCTCTGTGTAGCCTTGGCTATCCTGGACTTGCTTTGTAGACCAGGCTGGCCTTGAACTCACAGAGATCTGCCTGCTTCTGCCCCCTAAGTGCTGAGATTACAGGTGCGCACCATGCTCGGATCTCCCTTCTTTCTTAGTTGAAATAATGACAGGGTGTTGGCTTTGACACTGAAGATGTCAAGATCAAACTACTCTAGTGAAAGATATAAGGGGTTCTCTGCCTATTTCTTTACAATTTCTTCTTGGTCTATTATATTTCTGAAATGAAGAGTGTGTGGCCTCCTGGTGGGGAAGGCCAGCTTGTCGGACTGAGAAGAGCGGGACACTCATCTCACGTCAGGCTGCAAGTGGGGTCAGCATTGTCCTACTCAGCTCTCTTTGGAGTAAGAATGAGGGTTTGAGCTCCTCACCTGATTCTCATGGAATACTTCTCAACCCCCACAAATTCGGAACTGTGAAAGGTCAGGATTCTACATCAAGTCCATGGACCCCAGGCCTCTAGAGCAGGTGGCAGCTCTGGAGAAGGGGCCCCACCTGTGCCTAGCAACTGCTGACTGTATGGGGCTCATTCCACCAACAGGACTGGGTCACAGGAAGAAAAATCTCGGGGGACAGAAAACTTTTCAGCAGAAGGTCCCATTACAGGACTGCCAGCTGGCTTTGCCTGAGAGGACACACAGCCTTGCAGCTGCTGTGGGAACCTGCAGCCATAAAGAACAATGTAGAAAATGTCGAGAATAAGTGGAAATACGGAGAAGCCAGTTTCCTCCTAGGATAATAAGAAGCCCATCAGCACACATCATCTGCTTTAGAATCATACTCGGCTTTGTGAAAACAATCTCTTATTTGTCTTAAAATAGGAAAGATAACTGGGAACCAAGGTTGGAAGGTCCTGTTTTGCTTGGCTAGGCCTCACTTACCATCAAGACTGCCTTGGAGTGGAGTTGGGGAGTCAGCCAGAGAAATTTGGTGGAATCAGGGGACCCTTGGGAGGAGCGCTGGCTTGCCTGGTCTCTCATTTTACTATTGGTGGCGGCCAACACCTTGATCTTGAGGCTGTTTGTTGGAGTCCTTGCATTTCTACCATCTGTCTACATGCCAGTTGTCAAGACAAGATTTACATACTCAGCAGAGCCTGCCGGGGGCAGGCTCTAAAGGCAGGTCACACTCTGGAATCCAGTGGGCATTTCCCAATGGCGCCTGACTGGCAGCTACTGCCAGCTGATGAGACAAATGTAGGGTAAGATACGAGTCCAAGAGGGGCACACGTGAGACAGGCATACCTTTCACCAAGAGCCCGGCTTCCTGAGAAAGTCAGGTGTGACTGGAACCATTCAGTCTCTGGACCCAAAAGAAGAAAGATGAAAGTGCAACGGGATAAAAGTATTTCAAAAGAATTTTCTTTTTCTCTCTCTTTTTGGAAGGTTGACAGTATGAGACGCTGGCTGAGAGTGTTTATCAAAGTAGTTTTCAGTTAAGACAGGTGACAGGAGTCCTTTATGACAGAGAAGCCACCTATCTTCCCAGGCCGACCTTTTCCGGGTTCAGAGGCATCAACGTGTGTGTGTGTGTGTTTTGGTTAGTTCAGTGTTCCCATAGCAGCAAAAGCACCGTGGGGCTGGGGAATGCAGACTCCATCAAGGCGTGCTCATTGTAGAAGGGTCTGTCCCGTCTGAATCTGCAATTCTACCCTTTCCACTGGGTCCTAGGATTAAAAACAGCAGGTGACTGCCTGGGCTCCTCCCCAAAGGGCGGAAGGACAAACAAGGTCTGAGTGAACTAGGTTTCAAGCGGGCACCTCCATGCATGCCACTCGAGTTATTTGTGGCGAAGGGGGGGATCAGAGGCAGGAAAGCCTGTGGGTTTTTTTTTTTTTTTTTTTTTTTTAATAGGGCAGAGCAGGAAGTCAGCTTCCATCTGGAATTCCTACCAACACCAGTTGCCGTTCACATTCCCCAGGGAGAGCTGTTTACAATCAGCGCCGAGCAAGTGCGCATTCCAGGCGCCAGCAGCAAGCAGCAGCTACCCGGAACGAAGGGAACCGCGAGCTTACCGGTCACCACCACGCAGCGGGACCGCGAATCCTCGAGGCCGGGCTGAGCTAGGCTGGCGGGGCCCGGCCCAGCCATGATCCCGGACGGGAGGGGCGAGGACCACGTGGGAAGTGTGGAAAGACCACGCCCTCGGGAGCAGAACTGGAGACCTGGAGGGTCACAGCGCCGCCAGGATTCACCAGGACCCAGCTTAGTGGGTTCCGTGGGATGCGTGACACCAAGGCCTTGTCGCGGCTAACTGTCCCCCAACACTGCGCCATTACTAGGACTCAAGGCTGAAATCGCTCCAACTAGGCCCGCGGGTCACCCTGTCTGTTGTTTGTACCTACCTTGATACCTTGATCCTCCTCCT